CTCGAACACAACATTTTCCTGTATAATTTTACAGTATATATATTTATATATTCCTAACGCCGTTTATACCTCAGGTATAACGTTCCCCCGCCCACAAAACACGGCTATACCTTGTGCATGATACATTTACGTACTTATATAGCTTTACATGTATATATATATATTCTAATTACTATTAAAAATATATATTAACACGCTTTATTCTCATTAAGAGATATAGAGTGTATTTTTTTCGATTACAAAGGATAATTCCCGTATCGTCATTTTTTGTCACTACCTCCATGTTCTGGGAGTGGGTAATTTACGCGCCTGCTGCTTTCCTTGGATGTGGTAGCCGTTTCTCAGACTCCCTCCCCAGAATCGAACCCTGATTTCCCGTTACCCGTAACAACCATGATATTGATAGTAACTACTATCATAACATGAAACTAAAAAGTAAAAAATAAATATAGTTTAAAAAACNATTAAAAAGTGAAAAATAAATATAGTTTAAAAAAACTAAAAAATCACGCTTTTAAAGCACATCGAACTAAAAAGTTAAAAATAATTTTTAAAATAAGTTTAAAATAATTATGAACAAAAAATACTACTATTATTGTGATAAAAGCGTGGGTGCTTTGTCCCATATTTTTCTTATATTGAGCGCCCGACGCTTTTATCACAATAATACTAGTATTTTTCGTTCATTATTGTTTTAAGCTTATTTTAAAAATTATTTTTAACTTTTTAGTTCGATGTGCTTTAAAAGCGTGTTTTTTTAGTTTTTTTAAACTATATTTATTATCTCAGAACAAAACCTTTGTGATATTCGTGAGAGATATAAACTAATGAGCTACTAAAACTATGAACAGAAAAAGCAATAATAATTATATTTTATAAAAAAAAAAAACAGGAAAAGAAAAAATTGGATAGAGCAAGGAACATGAATAACAATGGACTTTGTGTATTAGTTCTTGACCTAGAAAAAGTACTTATATTATATTACCTTATATTACCTCAAGCTAAAGTAAGCCGTTACTGTTATAAAAATTGAAAAAAAAAAAAGATATAATCCATAAGTCCTATAAGTAAGTTACATAAGTTCGATGTACAAAAGTAAATCGTTAAACCGTTTTTGAAATGTTGAACAACGATTTTCTAAATTTCAAACCTTTTGTTGAGTATAGTTAAGTTCAATTAATCTACTCTGATAACAAATTTTAATATATAAAGAATAGTATTAAAAAAGTGTCCACTCCTTATAAAACACCATATAAACTAACTATTAAATACAACTTAAATTTCAGTCTCCATGATATTCACTTAAAAAAAAATGCAAAGTAAGATATAGTCAATTAAAGTCAACGAGTTATACTAAGTAAAGCATAAACAAAAAACTTGCCCATTGAAAAAGCTAAAATTAAAAGATTACTATCACTATGCAAAATGGGTCTCGTTTCGGAAACATACCACTTTTTTTTTTATAAAAACCTATTTAAGTCAAAATTTTGAACTTTTTTAAAAATAACCAAATCAATATAATTTGTTTTTATATAGATGCATGATATGATTACCTTTCATTTGGTACTTTTTTTATAAATGTGACCCTTTACCTGCCCATAGAAAGGGATTTAAATGACAACTTTTTTACAAAAAATTAACTTTATCAATCTGACTTTTGAAAATGTTTCGGAAAGTCTGACATTTTTATATATATCTTAAATTAAAGCTATTGTAATATACTTTATCATGGAAATTTCGGACTTTTTTTTGTCTTCACGGTGAAAATGGCTAACAAATGCTATTTTTGTGTGAAAATTCTCGATTTTGTATTTTACATATTTAATTTTATTATGCAATAACTTTTTGAAAAATGTATGGATCAATACAATTTCTTCATGAGAATTTCATCTTTCATTCGACATACTGTTTTTAACACGCTTTTATTAGTTTCACGTGTATGTTTGTTGTTGTTTGTTTGTAAGTTTGTAACTCTCCAAACGCCACGCGTTATCGCATATTCCGTTGTCTAGACTAGACTGTTATACGCATTCACCCCTCCCCACGCCTCGCTCACAATACGACGGTACACTATTCCTATAAAAATTTATTTTTAGTTATCGTACCCGTACACGCGTGCTTGTCATCAATATTATATATATGTAAACAAATTTTTATTTTGACTGACCAATAACGCCCGCGTCTAATGCGCCTTACGTATATATATATATATTCCTACCGCCGTTTATACCTCGGGTATAACGTTAGTCCGACCCGCCCGGCCATAAAACACAGCTATACTTAGTGCATGATACTTTTACGTAGTTAAGTCGCATTATTTGTATAAATATATATATTCTAATTACTATTAAAATTAATATATTAACACGATTTATTCTAATTAAGAGATATAAAGTATTCATTCCGATTACGAGGGATGATTTCCGTATCGTCATTTTTCGTCACTACCTCCACGTTCCGGGAGTGAGTAATTTACGCGCCTGCTGCTTTCCTTGGATGTGGTAGCCGTTTCTCAGACTCCCTCCCCAGAATCGAACCCTGATTTCCCGTTACCCGTAACAACCATGATATTGATAGTAACTACTATCATAACATGAAACTAAAAAGTAAAAAATAAATATAGTTTAAAAAACTAAAAAAACACGCTTTTAAAGTACATCGAACTAAAAAGTTAAAAATAATTTTTAAAATAATTATGAACAAAAAATACTAGTATTATTGTGATAAAAGCGTCGGGCGCTCAATATACGAAAAATATGGCACAAAGCACCCACGCTTTTATCACAATAATACTAGTATTTTTTGTTCATAATTATTTTAAAAATTATTTTTAACTTTTTAGTTCGATGTACTTTAAAAGCGTGTTTTTTTAGTTTTTTAAACTATATTTATTTTTTTATTTATTAATATTAATAAGGTACTAGCAGATCATGTAGCTTTTGGAATAATACATCAATTTTTTTAAAATTAAACACAATCTAAAGATTTGCATCAAAGCGTTTTTTTTGATAATGATTTTAATCACTGTCAGATATCATTATACTTGATCCAACTATGCTACGTCACCACTGTGCCGCGACTCCCCTGTGCTGGGTTTTTTAATTTTAAATACTTTTACTTAATATAAATTTGTTGTCTTTAAAGACATAATTGAGATACAATAGCTGAATTTCACTGTTGTGAGTTGGAAATAATACTAACATGACAAACTGTTTTTAGTTTATGGACATAATTTTAAAACATCCATTTACTACTCATAAAGTCATTTTGGAACACTTTTATATTATTTAAAGTAATATGTTGTGAATTTTAAATGTATAAAATGTATGTACTAAAATTAAAATTAAAATGTTAACTTTTCAACAGCTATTCCTGAAAAGATGAAAAAGTGAGTTGATGCTTTATTTGTTGTACATAATGATATATTTCCGCTTAATTACCCAGACTTACACTCAAGGGCGTTCACCCTAAATTACTGTCTTTTTAAAACCCTACTGCACTTATATTTTTACATTTTTTTTTCCACGTATTTTTTTTCACTCAGTACTGAGCTAACTACCATTGGTGTCATAGATAATAACATATTTAATATGAGTAAAAATTTAATATACTTATAATGAAAGATTTTACATACATAGAACTCTATATAAAAGCCACTTGTTACGCTCACAATAATTCCCTAATTTCGATAATAAATACTTTATATTTAGAAACTATATCATTTATTTTTGTGTTATATATCTGAAAATATGAAGTAATAAAAACTTTGAAGAACTATATAACGAATTCAATATTGTTAGAAGCTTGAAAAGTGTGCGAATAAATGGGCTGGATATGTATGGATTTCAAAAGGACTAACTGGAGAAAGGAATGTAGAAGAAAAGGCAAAACACAGAGTTTTTATTTTATAATTAATTAAAAATGTTAGTACTGTGGTAAAAGTACGACTTAGCTCTATAAAGATAAATTTTATACTTATTTTGAAATAAATGAGATTTATGAATTATTTTATTAAATTTGAATAATTAATCTAACAATTTTTACCAAATACTACAAATTATATGGAATAAAAATGGTGCACAATTATACCATAGGTTACTCTATAAAAATAAATATACTAATATAGAAAAATAATAATCTAAAGGTAGAAAAATCTTAATATAAGTTTCTGATTAATATTTAACTTTTATAATTTCATAACTTTTATAAAGACTATTATGATTCTAAGGGCACAGAAAATGATAATTTAAAGCTTATAAAAAGTTAAGTATAAAAATAAATAAGAGCTAATTAGAAATAAATTTATTATTATAGATGAACAAGGTTAAATAACAAAATAAAATTGTTTATGTTTCAATAAATAAAATGAAATATCGTTTTTAATCGAATATTTTAATTAAAAATTGTAAGTAAGACGAATATTATAATTAAATTTTCTTTATCATTGTTTATTGGATATTATCCTAATAAATAAAAAATTTAAAAAGTATTTTTCTTCTAGAGAAGTAAAAAATATTTGCAAGAACCGACATAATACATATATAATATATATAATTATGATTTCATTACATATTTAATTTTATCAATGATTCATACTAATTAAAATTAACAATACTTATTACAAAGTAATAAATCTGTATAAACAAGATTGAATTACATTTACTTTAAATAAATCTAATATCCAGATATTTGATCAGTAGAAAATATGTTACAAAATTTATTATATTTTCATAATTCGACAAATTTAAACTGATCTTAAAATTTTATCCATTTTATTAACAATTTACCTAGAATAAAAAAAAAATTGACATAATATATAATTTAATGTTTTATAAAAATTAATATTAATATAGATCTACCAAAAATATTAATACTTAAGTATATGAATGTTTTAAATGTATAAAGAAATAATTATAAATGTTTATTATTTTAGAGATTTTAATAGTAATAGAACAAAAATTAATATAGAATTTATTAATTATTTATTTATTTAACAGGTATTAACTCAATGTAAATATATTGTAGGATTGAATTTGATTTGAATTTTTATTATTACAAAAATAGTGTTTTCTAGAAATAATCTCCTAGATTATTTGTCTTCTCGCTATTTGTATTTCGGGGAAAATGTTTATGTATTTTGCAACGAAGTCCCATGGTAATAAAGTAGGTTTTACCAAATTATCTAAAAAGATTCAAATATCTTACACAAAGTATTGAACATGTATAAAATTTATCCTCATCTTTAAAAATTACATTTCTATGAATATTTATTTTATTTTCATCAGTAAAATAAACACGATAACCTTTTGTATTCTCAGAATATCTAACAAAAATACCTCTCTTACTTTTAGCATCCAATTTTTACGAAGTTGATTATGAATATGTACAAAAACTTCTGTACCAAAAATGTTGAAATTTTTAACATTATAAATCTTTGTCCAAAGCAGCTCCACTTGAAAATAAGTTTACCTTTAATTCAGGTACATAGTACCTGTAGTACATTTATAAATGTGTTTGATATAATTTATCATTTGCATAAAATAAAACATTTATACTACTTTTACCTTTTGCAATTATTTTATTACCATTACCAATTCTTACATAAACAGGTTCATTGAACTCCATAAAAGTTTTAAACCAGTTTCTATGTGAGCACATATGGTCACTTGCACCTGAGTCTAAGTACCAATACATATCATCTATTTCATTAGTAATGATTAATTTACCAAGCAATGAACTACCTTTTGGTTCTTAAAATATTGTCTACACTTATTTTTGTTTAAATAGCAATCTTTTTTCCAGTGATAACCCTAATTGCATTTAAAACATTTACCTGGTGCTTTTGTATTTTTATCAAATTTCAGATTTTGTTTTTCATTCTTCTTTTTGAACCCATTTGAATTTTTAGCTATTAATGTACTTGAGCTGTTGCAATCTATATCATCCTTACACTTGACTCTTAATTCTTCAATAAGGAGTCTTGACATTAAATTAGAAAGAGTACGTTTGTCTTGAGATGTAGAATCCCAAGCACTATGGAAATGATTATACATTAAAGGTAGCGTCATAAGTATTTTAGTCATTAACATAGAGTCTGACGGTTCTCCTAACTGTTTCAATTGTAAAGCAATACTCTCAAGTTTAGAAACATGAGTTTTTGAATCATCTGAAACATCTTTGGTAAAGATTTTTGAAAATTTTTGTTGCAATAAATGCAAAATTGCCTCAGACTTTTGTTGAAAAATACTTAATAATTTGTTCCACATACTTTCTGATGTTTCACAAGTCATAATAAGTTGAAGTAAACTATCATTAATTGATGTTGCAATTAATCTTTGGACTTTATTTTTCCATAAATTAAATTCTCGATCGTACCTGAATTGTGCTTCTTCTACATTCTCCTTACTACGCTTCACCAAGATTGGCTTTGTCCACTGACCATCAACCACACTGAATATATCACATTTTTCATTAAGATTCTTAATTGAAACTTCCACTGACACCAATTATCAGCATTTTTCAACATATTAATCTTTATTAAATCCTCCATCATAATCTTAAGTATGTATAAAAATAAGAAAAAAACAAAACTTAAAAAATAATATGAAAAGCACGCAACATGAAAAAATAAACTGGACCCATAACCTATTAAACAATATTAGAGAATTGTAACGTAAGTGTGCTCTTCATTAATTCAAACGGATAAGTGAATAACAGCTACCATCATATGTAACAATATACAACAAACAATCTCTAACAGTGTTGCATAACATACAATGTAAATTTTATAGTTTTCAACACAAAGCTATTTTCATTTATTTATTCTTGACATTTAATTCAACAGTTAAATGGACATGGTAAACCTATTTTTAGCTTCGATGCGAAGCTGAGAAGGTGTTGGTTTTACTAAGATGTGTTTTTTTTTTTATTTTTTTTTTTTTTGTGTCTTACCACTTTTTCTCAGCTCTCACCGAACGGATTTCTTTCAACGATACGTCAAAAGATCACAAATCGTATCTAGTCGAAGACATTACCCTTCAAAATTGAAAAAATTTCCCTCGTTCCCCGTAAATGGGGGAAACCTCCAAAAAAATTACAAATTTAAAAATCGCTAATTTTCGAAATTTTTTCAATTTTTTTTACTAAAAACTGCCGTAACTTTTTCAAAAATGAACATATCAATATAATTTTTTTTTATATAGATGCTTGATGTCTTTACCTATCATTTGGTATATTTTTTTTGTAAATTTGACCTTTTATCTGCCCACAGGGGGGGATTTAAAATGACAACTTTTTCACAAAAAATTAACTTTTTCAACTTAACTTTTGAAAATGTTCCGGAAGGTCTGACACTTTTATATATATCTTAAATTAAAGCTAATGTAATATACTTTAATTTGAAAAAAAAAAATTTGACCTCTGGACTTGTCTTCACGGCGAAAATGGCTACCGAATGCTATTTTCGTGTGAAAATTCTCGATTTTATTATTTATATTATATTTAACTTTATAATGCTATAACTTATTGAAAAGTTTATGGATCCACACAATTTTTTTATGAGAAATAATATTTTTTAATAAACCCTTTTTCATTCGACATACTTTATCTTAATCGAGATATTAATAAGGAACCAGCAGATCAAGTAGCTTTTGGAATAAAACACCAATTTTTTTAAAATTAAACACTATCTAAAGATTTGCATCGAAGCGTTTATTTTTGATAGTGATTTTAATCATTGTCAGATATCATTATACTTGATCCAACTATACCACGTGACAATTGTGCCGCGACCCCCCTGTGCTGGGTTTTTTTTTTTACTTGGATACTTTTTCCTTTTCTAAAAACATGTTCACAACCATAATTTAATTGTTATTTACTTTTTTGCTCTATCCATTCATTTGGATTCCTAAATTGTATTCCAGTTATTTATTTTGGAAGATATTGTTAAGTTTATTTTTTGGGTTGTGATAAGACTTAAGTTTATTTATAAAAAGAAAATTTTTATATCAAATTATTATTTTAAATTAATTGCTTATGTTTTTGATTATTTTTTGTATTTTTAATTATTTTTTTACTATTTTAGGGACTTTAATAACTATTAAACATTTTAATATTCATTTGATACATAAGAAGTACTGTATTAATAATTTATCTATAATATATTAATGAAAAATGTATAAATAATTAAAATAAAACAGTTATTAAATGTTTATTATAAAGTAAATAGAATGTTTGCAGATGTTTTTTTTTCTTATTTCACTAGTTTTTTTAGCACCATAAATTATAGCATTGATGAACTTTAAAATCCACTTCTTAATTATAAATAAAAGTTAATAAAAATATATTTTAGTATTAATAATTGTTTTACCCTTATAATTATTTACCAAAAAAATTGTAATTAAAATTAAATTTTTTTAAATTTAATAGTTAGTATTTATTTGTTATATATACTTTTTGGTAATCACATAAATTGTATACAAAATTAGGGCCTGATATTAAAGGTAAATTATAATTTTGATCTTCATAGAAGTGGTCACTCAAATATTCATAATTTTTTACAATATTAAACCCATCTAAATTATTATTAGAAACAAAATAATTTGTATTAATTTATTTACTCTAATTGTATCATTAGAATTTATATTAACATGAATGGTATCTATTTAAAAGATTCTGCACATTGTTCTTTATCAAATTTTATAGTTCTATTTAAATGGTGATTTGATATTTATCCTACTTTTTGGAAGTTAGTCTGAAAATAATTATATTAAAATATTACAATTTGTTTTCTAATTAGAAAAATTAATCATTTATTTTAAAACTATATTTTTTTTGGTTATTAGACATCTTTCATATGAATTAATTACAGTTGTACGGTTAAATTCAAGTAAACACATTAATTAAAATATCATTATTGAATCTATCCATTTGATCATATTATAATTTTTAAAATAGAAAATTTAAATTAAGATTATGATATCATTAAAAATACACAAAGCATAAATTTTGAATTTTGTATTTGCTGTTCTCAGCCGTTGCGTAACTCCTTTTTTAATGATACGTTTGGTTTTTATAATGAACCGATCATACTGTAGTTGAAAATTTTTGTAGAATATTTTGAGTTTTTATAAATCATTTATTATTTGAATTAATTCTAAATTCATTCGTCTTGTATTAGTGTCGATAATTTCATTCAAACGTGTGTAGAGAGGGCTTGGGGGTAATAGTCGCATATCGCTGAGATAAATTTACTTGGTCTACAGTTGAAATATTTGTCAGGGGTGACTTTATAAGTCTAATCTTTTGAAACCATTTAAAAATTAATGTTTATTTATTATTAAGTAAAATATTTGATATCTTATGCTAAAAATAAAATTGTGTCTGTTACCACTTTTTCTCAGTTCTCACCGAACCAATGTCTTTCAACGATACGTCAAAAGATCACAAATCGTATCTAGTCGAAGACATTACCCTCAAAAATTAAAAAAATTTCCCTCGTTCCCTATAAATGGGGGAAAACTCCAAAAAAATTACAAATTTAAAAATTGATAATTTTCGAAATTTTTTTAATTTTTTTTACTAAAAACTGTCATAACTTTTTTAAAAATGAACAAATCAATATAATTTTTTTTTATAGATGCTTCATTCATTTGGTATATTTTTTTCATAAATTTAGCCCTTTACCTGCCCACAGGGGGAGATTTCGAATGACAACTTTTTCACAAAAAATTAACTTTTTCAACTTAACTTTTAAAAGTGTTCCGGAAATACTGATACTTTTATATCTTAAATTACTATAATATTAAAAAAAAAAAATTTTGGACTTTATTTTGTCTTCACGGTAAAAATGGCTATCGAATGCTATTCGATAGTTTAAAATATTCGAAAATGCCCATCACTAGTTTCTACCATCAAAACCAGTGTCGACTGCATTATAACGAAGTAAGTCGTGTCAATTAGTGCACCATCATAAGAAATAATTTACGTAGAAATATTATTTATATTATATGAAATAGAAATAGTTTTGTGTATGCAAATTTATGTAATTTAAGTAAAAGTTTTGAACTTGATATCTCAACCGTTATTCGTTAATCTTACGTAAGTAGTTTGTATATAAGATAAGTCCATTGTAATAATATACATAGTACATCATTAATATTATAATGAATTATTTGTAATATAAACAATACTTCATTAATGTCATAATGTATTATTTAAGACTTCAATCAATCAATCACACAAAATGAAATGTATACCAATAAAAATAAGATATATATACAGGGTGATTTTTTTATCATAATCCACTCAATTACTTGCAGAATAATAATAATTTAAACATTTTTTTTTTTATTATCTTAGTTACACATTATTCTTGAATTTTTAACTATGTAATACTTTTTAAGTTCATCCCTTATGCCTTGGAGGGGGGTCAACTTTGTTTTTTTAAATGGTAACACATATTTTTAATTTAATAAAATGTTTGAGTTTTTAATTTAATAGTAAATGGCATTTGAATTTTTAATATAACTTTATTAGCTTATTAGATATAAACATTTAAAGTTTCAAAATTTTGAGTTAATATACATGTATAATACACATGGGATTGTAAATACAGGTAGCTAATTGGATTTTTATGACATTGCTGTCTCAGTCACGGATTGTTTATTATCAATTATGATTATCAATAGATATACTTTCTGTATTGTCAGTTAGTGTATTTATAAACTCATAACAATGTGCCTTACTACAATTGATAATAACAATGCTGTGTACCTGCTAATATCGATGTTATAAAAAACCAATTAGCTACCTGTATTTGTAATCCCTTGTGTATTATACCTGTATATTAATTCAAAAATTTGAAACTTTAAATGATTATATCTAATAAACGAATTAAGTTATATTAAAAATTCAAATGCCATTTACTATTAAATTAAAAACTCAAACATTTTATTAAATTAAAAATATGTGTTACCATTTAAAAAAACAAAGTTGACCCCCTTCCAAGGCATAAGGGATGAACTTAAAAAGTATTACATAGTTAAAAATTCAAGAATAATGGGTAACTAAAGATAATAATAAAAAAAAAATTTTTAATTATTATTATTCTGTAAGTAATTGAGTGGGTTATGATAAAAAAATCACTCTGTATATATGTACTTTTTAAATGTTTAAATATACTAATGAAATTTCGTAGAAAAAAGCATATATTAATTATATAAAACAAATAGGAAATAATAAACAATATGTAATGGTAGCACATAAGATGAAGGGTAATAAACTNGAAATAGTAGCACATAAGATGAAGGGCAATAAACTATGTCTAATTTATTATATAAGATATAATAGTATGTTATAATATGTAGATCATTATTGATGAAAATGTAATAAATAACATGTAATAAATTACGATTAATAAAGAAATAATAGTGGCGTCGGTGATCACTTCTTGCCTTTGAACCACGATCAAATTTAATATAAAAAGCCAAAAATAAAGAGCATTCTGAGACAGATGCAGTTAGATATTCACAAAGGCACTCACTACGCTCGACCATTCCACACTACGAAACATATGCAAGAAGTGATCCGCCATCAACATAATTATATTTGTACGAAAAATACAACATCTATTTATTTAAGAGAATCGCAGAAAATATCAAGGTAGGAATCTAATGAATTCACCAAAAATAAATAAGGTTTAGAATTAAATTTTACGAGTACATAGATTAAGTAGGCATACAGGAAAATCAAAAGGAAGATCAATAA